AGGAGAGACAAAACTGATATGATGCAAAAGTAATGGCTTCTTGACAGTGATGTAAGAACTTAATGTAATTAATAACTTTAGATGATTCAGCTTTGGGTATATGCTGTAATAATAAGTTAACACAAACCTTTTTATTTTTGTAAAAAGTATTCTATAGCCCAAAAACTCATATAGTGTCCATTGTCACTGCTGATCTCATGGACATTCCATCTAGTCAGCTGTTTTCTCATTGCTTAACCAATTCAGGGTTGCTGGAGTCTTTCCCAGATGTCATAGAGTAAGAGCCAGGGTACAGCCTGGACAGGTAGCTAGTCTATCACGGTGTATACACATGGTCCATGACAGATTTATTGTCTGTGATTGAGCTATCTGAAAGTCAACATATTACAAGCAGAGTAAATGAAACCATTGACTCGTTTAAGTGTTATAACCAAGGAAATAAATGCCTAAGTACTGTTTACATAAGATTGAATAGGCCTGCCCTTGCATAACACTTGAAGGTTGGCTATGCATTTCAGGACTTCAGAGGTTGTGCAGTACAGAGCACTACACTGTACACGGGTTATTTCAGGACCAAGCCTGATGTCAAAATGTCCTGAAGGTATGCTGTGAGTGCAGAAAATGTCCTATGCCTGATGAATTTCATAATCTTGCAACATGACAGCCCTGTGCTAGACTGAACTCACTGAACTTCATTGAACTTCACTGAACTTTTTAGTGGGTTCTGCACCGCTGCTGCTAAAGTGGGCTTAGCAGCAGTGGTGCTTTTTAGATGTAAGTGGCTGTTAAAATGGCTACGTGTTGTGATTATTATCAGCTTAGTTTTTGTTTGTTTCATTACATTACACTCACTATATGTATACTGTTGTCAGTTGAAAGCAACTTTGGCTATTTGATGGACATCGTGCAGCTGTTAGTGCTGAGCTGCATGAACAGTTAGAATCATATATTTCCAGAGCTAAAAAGAGATTTAATATTGGCTGTAACTTTCAGTAGGTAACCAGAAACCCAACTCCAAATGAGCGACGGTGACTCGGGAGGTAAGAGCAGATAGCCTACTAATCAGAATGTTGGAATGTTGGCGGTTCAATCCCACCAACCTCAACATATCTGCTGTTCTTCAGCAAGTGTTGAACCAGTTTTTTATGACTTAAAAATGTCATAAAATGCAATCCTGTGTTAATGTGTATGAAAAGGACTTGTAGTGTAAAAGAGTTCTGAGTGGTCAGCAAGACTAGAAATGTGCTATCTAAATGCCAGTCCATTTAACACTAATTACGTGAGCTGTATCTGAGGCATTGACCATAGTATGTTATGTAATGAATTAAATGTCACATGGTGTTTGGTTCACTGCTTGGCCTGTCTCTCCTCATGGCTCACTGAAATTCAAAAACTGTGCAGTACCAGTACTTTGAAAATTGAAAGTGAATTGAAATGTGAAATGTGGTATTATTGTAAATTGAGATGTTGGAGAGGAAGGTTTTTTTTTTTGTGAAACTATGATTTATACACAATTATTACTGTTTTGGCTTTAATGTGAGAGCAACGCAGTACAAGGCATTTTTTTTCTTACTGTTTATCAGTGCTGCAGTAGTAGTGGTTGGAATACTTTTTTAAACTTAGCTTCATCTCGTTTCAAGTTTTTATGAGGAATCTTAAACTGTAGTCTAGGTTAGAGTGTTTAACCAAAACCATCCGTCTGAGCCAGTGTGTGTTATGTTGAATACAGAGGTTTGGGTTTTTTGTTTTTTTGCTAAAATAAAATTCACTTCATTTTGGCTTTTATTTGACCAGTGGAAGGAGGGAGAATGCCCGTACGTCTTAATTTTTCACTGTAGCCTGCTTCTGTTTCCAGATCTCCACTCTGCTAGTGTTGTGCTTAGACAACTATCTTTATGGTTAGTGGGTATGTGTGCATGGTGTGTGTGTGTTCACGGATGTAATGTACGTGCATGCATGCATGTTTCTATCTGTGTGAAACAACGAATACATATCATTGCCCAGAGCAGTGTGTGGGCCAAACAGCCACAAAGGATTTGAGTCATTGTGTTACTTTCACAGTGAAACTAGTCCACCACAGAGGATGCAGAGCCAAGGTGATGCAGCTGTGCCTGTGACCTTTAATGCATAGATTGCATGAATGCATGGGGGGGGAAAGTGATATAGCTAAGGAATGTAAGCACGGGAAACACATTATGTCAGGTTTCATTCAACAAAAGCACTCTATTTAATTGTTGCTTTGGTGTCATAACAGAAAATGTATGTAAAATAGGCTTATTGTGTGCCTTACCTATGTGTCTACATGTTTTGCGTATATTTATGTGGCTTTCTGCCCCTGTTGACGACATCATGTATCATGATCTTAGACAGAGTCTTCTTTTCATTAAATCGATAGCATTACATGAGGGTTTCAAGTGTTTAAAATTCAAAAGGGAGGATTTTTTCTTTCCTCGTGGCCCATGCTTAATCAGAACTAATCAAAAGCTATACTAATTCATCATCTGTGTCCTACTCTGTGTATGTGTCCTGCTCTGGTGGGAGTGTCTATTTTTCAAATGATTACACTCTTGTCCCTGAGGCTCTGTTGGCCACTGAAAGCTCTGTTAAGCATAACAATCACCATCACCTCTCCTCAGCAGGACACATAGACTTATTAGTTTCAGGGAATTAACATGTTTGTAAAGCGATAATAACACGGTGTTGTATTTTATGTTTTCACCAGACTATTAGTTAATTGGGCTAATTAAGTCAGAAATATACACTCACACTAACATAATATGTTGTATGTATATTATTTGACCCCCATGCAGCTACTTTGAGGTATTGTATGCAAGTACATATGTACTGTATTTGACTAAATATGGCGGCCTGGAAATAACGAACTAGAAAATCTTCCGTGTTAAATATTCATCACGCGAGTGATAAAGTTAACTTTCTAAAAACCACACACGCAAAGCCTCCACGATCAAATCTCTGGTTTAACCGTTTCATGTCGTTTTATTTTATGCCTGTTTATTAAAAAAATAGAAAGAAAGAAAATTTAGAGGCCTGCTGGGAGTTTGTTTGGGCGACTATCTGAGCACCTCTCATTTTCCCTCGACAGGACATCACAGCTTAGCTAACAGCTGAGGCTGGAAAAGGGCAGCTGAATCCACAGAAATATGGTTAATTTGATTTACCAGGGCAAACTTTCCTGGTTTTTTAATCTTTTGTGAAGCTAGTATCTCTTAGTGAAGAGCTCAGACTGTTTATGCCTCACCTTTATGTTTCCTTATTCATTTAATTATAATCACTCTAGAATTTACAGTTGTCTGTATCCTCTGTATCTCTTTGATTTGCCATCCTTTGATCCTCTTCAGTCTTTCTCTCACACTCAGCTCTTGACCTCCTCTTTAAAAATCAGTCTTTCTCCTTTTTTGTCTTTTTACACAGAACAATGCTTTGGATTTATGCATAGCTACACTTATTTGGTTAATTAAAAACGTTCCAGTGTGCTGCAGAGACATGTTCTATAGCAGCGGTCCCCAACCCCCGGGTCTCGGACCGGTACCGGTCCGTGAGTCGTTTGGTACCGGGCCGCGAGAGTTGAGGCTCAGGTGTGAAATGTATAGTTTTCATGGTTTTTATCGGTTTTCAGCGTTATTTTGTTATCGTTTACTCGGTTTTCCTTGGTCTTTTCACGCGTGTTATGAATAAATTTTCTTTTTTTCGGTACTGGTACTAGTTTTATTTTGTTGTATTTATCCGTGACACATTAAAGGCCGGTCCATGAAAATATTGTCGGGCATAAACCGGTCCGCGGTGCAAAAATGGTTGGAGACCGCTGTTCTATAGAACAGAAGTTGCTTTGCCATACAACAGCAATTTTTACCTTTGTACAGAGATCCATTATTGCAGAAGAAGCATCTGAGACTTCATTTTGTTTTCTATGTTTGCTTTCAGTGAAATCAGGAGTAACATTAAATGCAGTAAATACACAATGATTGTTGACTGCAAGATAAGCAGGTGGAATTCATTGTTGCATAAACATATAATTTTTACTTCGTGATTGACTAAAGTGTCTCTTCAGTCACAGTTTAATTACTCTTTTATAATTTTAGCTTTGTAGAAATTCTTGACGCCATCTTACTAGAACACAGTCCCTGTCTGGTCTGGTTGTTTGCCCAGAAAGTCCCACATGAGCAGGAGTTGAGCAACCCAAATTGGTACGTAGCTACATCTTAGGCCCTGAAGGTTCTTATCTAGATCAGATATTAGGATGTCCTCATGTTGCCTATCAGCCACCTGGCAACGGACTGAAATCACAGACCACACAATACTATAGCATGTGCTATTAATTAGTTATAAAATTAAAAATTCAAATGTTAAGGCTAATGGATTAAGAGAATGTATTTATCTGCTTCATCTTGTAACATTTCTCTGAGGTGATCTACAGTGCTAAACTCCACAGGAAAAAAAGTACCATGCACGTATTACTGAGGTAACTTGTGCATCAAAAGGTGTAGAAGTGTATAAGCCAAGTTTGCTGTTAGCATGGGTACTTTGATGCCCTGCTGAGTTCCCTTTGATTCTATTTCTCTTAAGCTCTACATATGTAATCGCTGACTAAAAGGAAGGTGACCATAACTGCTTTTGGCATATGCTTCTCTGCGGCTGCAGTGATAACAGCAAATTAGACTGAGTCAAGGGTGCAGTTAGTGAAGCACAGTTCGAGGCTCTTTTTTAGGTGTCATTAGTGAATCACAAACTGTGGATTTTTTTTCTTGTACTTTTTGTTAGTGTTATTAGATTCTGGTAATGGTGTTATGACATTATCAACTGGATATTTGCTTTTAGAAATAAAAAATAAAATACGACTGGTGCACCTTTTCATTTGTAATTTAACTGTGGATGAACTTTTTCGGTGAAATCTTTTGTTATCAGTGTTTCTTTCTGATTCTGTCACAGTTTTGGTTGCTTCGGAGTGTGAACTCACCCTGTCTGTGCGTTTTGTCTTTTAGTACCGGATTGGGCAGCTGTACATGATCAGTAAACACAGCCATGAGCAGAGCGATCGAGGGGAAGGGGTGGAGGTTGTCCAGAACGAACCGTATGAAGACCCGGCACATGGCCAAGGACAGTACACAGAGAAACGAGTCTACCTCAACAGGTCAGTGGAATATTCTCCTGCTAGTTGAATGCCCGACATGTGATTAATTAGTAGTGTGTGGGCTACTTTTATATGCTGGCCACCATTAATCTAATCTAATTTTCATTTGGTCTCCAACCAGTTCCTGAACATTTCTGTTTGCTGTCTTTCTCTGGCAGAATCTTCTTGCCCACAGAACATATTTTGTTTGTTTGTTTCAGAAATGGAACGAACAAATTCAATCCCTATGGTTGAATATTTACAGAAAAGACTACTCAGTGAATGCAATGAATCAAAATGAATCAAAAACTTCCCACACTGACTGGCAGAACTAAACTCTGTAGAAGTTTACCAGAAAGCCAAATGCTTGTGGGATTGTTGTTTTAAAGGCTATTCTCGCCACCTGGGACCTAATTCCCTGTTCCTAAATGCAGTCAATCCAAAAAAAAGCAATGCAGGGGTTAAAATCGTGATATAGTTTAACAAGAAATACTTCAAATTGCCTAAACACCGCTTGCAGTGTTTCCTGGTGATGAACTATTTGCTTATATTTACAGCATTTCTTCCCGATGACACGAGTGCTTGCAGGATGTGGTAATTTCAGGTAATTCGGTAAAAAATGATTAGACCTAAAATTGTTCTTGTTTGTCTGAGTCAAAGATGTACAATCTAATCACAATGGCCTCTGCATCGAGAAGCATCGAGAAGCATCAAGTCCATTCATTGTATCTTTGGTTGTTTAATGACAAGACTGGCAGTATTGTTGTTAATTTTTTTATTTTAATGAATGATTAATTACTTATTTGTTATAATGAATTGTCATTTAAATATATATAATTATTATTACAAATTAAAATGAAAGTTAGCAAGAAATACATTATTAAAAAATGAAAAGGTGGAAATTTTTTTGCGGAAAAAAATATGACAGAGCCTAAACGAGGTCAAGAGAGAGAAAATGGAAGAAGGCAGAGATGCTGTAGGCCATTTGTCTGAGCACAAATACCCGTGTCAGCATTCGCTATGCCAGGGAACTAATTATGTTGAGTCAGCACACCTCTGCTCTGCAGAGGAAATGAAGAAGGCAAAGGCAGCATACAGAGATCGTCTGGATCTCCATTCAGATATTTTCAGTCGGTTTGCTTTGTATTGAACTAGAAATTTATATAGATAAATTGAGTATTTTGAGCAACAGTGTTCAGGAAGACACTTGCTTGGAGCTTTGTTTAAACAGAAATGAAAGGCAACAGTTGCTTTGTACAAAAAAAAGACCTTAGGCTATAATCTTCATTCACACTGTAAGGTGGAGCAGTTCTGTGAAATTTTTGTGAAATTTTGCCAATATCTAAGGAGCGATATTTACTCATTTCAGAGCAGTTCATTCATGCGCACCAACAAAATTGTCATTCAGGCAAGGAGAAAAAAGAGGGACAGAATTGTATTCTAAACACTTAAACTCTCAGCTTTGATGGATGTTTGCATTTGCAGTTAGATGGAGATCTAGAAAACACTAACCTTTCCACAGCAGCTGACATTTTGATGGAGTGAAATGTATGAGTGCGTAAATGTGTGTCTGCGTTTGGCAGAATTCAAAAGCTCCACATATTGATGATGAACATCCCTGTGGTTTAATTCGAAACCCTCACTTCTCAATGGAAATAACAGCTGCGTTCCTCTGTCAACCACTCAAGCTGCCTTCTATATCTCTGTCTTACAATATTTGTAGTGAAAAAATGATCAAGGAATTCTTACTAGATGGTGCATAATCATGGAAAACAACTGATGTGCTTTCACATGAAGTGAAATGGCATTCTTAATTTATTGCCTTAAAACAAACAAACACACAAATCTGGGTAATATCAGCAGAACCCAACAGTGTAAACATGTAAATAAATAAGTAAACAAAACCATTGTTGGGGAAGTCTGTTTGTGTTTTGGTTTGGCTCTACTACCAAATGCAATAAAATTCCCTTCAGGCGTTCTTGAGATATCAAATTGACCAGAAGACATAAAAAAACTAATCCACAAGTAATATTGTTATATTTTAATGATGTTCTTTGTATAAACGTGGTAAGCGTGGCAAGAAGAAACTGCATGGATGGAAGTTAGGCTTGTATAGAATCAACAACATAACTTTACTATAGTTAACTACTGTTCTGTTTACCTTAACTGGTCATCCATCTGGAGCTGCAACAAGTAAACATTAACTTTAAGTCACCAGCAGGGAATCAAGCTGCCAATCTGTCACACTTTAACCGCCTCATTAGCCCTCACAATCTGCTTCACACAGTACTTTACTATTTGGCCTGATCTCATCTCATGAATACTGTTTTCCTTGTTTATTATCATTATTATTATTGTTATTACTATTACTATTGTTAAAGTTGATTGATTATGAACAATTGTTACCATTCCTCAGATGCGTTCAGATAAACCGGGATGCTTTTTTAAAAAAATAAATAAAATAAAGCAGACATCCATTACGCTCGCACGTTTGGCAACATGGGCTGGCAAAGATCTTTACAAGAAGAAGAAGGAGGGAATAGGAGAACTCAACAGATGGAGGTGTAGGAGGGGTGTCAGTCTCTTTGTTGGAAGAGAGAGAGAATATCTGGCAGCATTCACAAATTTTTATTCACAGCAGTCACGTATTTCACGGAGTGCCATTTTTGTCCTGTTTTGGAGAGTATGTCATTCAAAGTATGTGGCGGCTTTCCAAAGTACATAATCGAAGAAAAGTGAATGTCAAGCACAGACATGCATTAATAAGTCTCCCGAATACACATATTGGTAGAGTACTGAAACAGTGACCTCATGCTGGATGATACCGAGATTAAAAGTTTCAACAAAGTGCTTTCAGGCTCAGAAAACTCATATGTCTGCCGCTACAACTGATAAATAGTGCGATATTTAATACATTTTTGAGAGTTTATATGACTATTTTGTTTGTGGGATAAGTATGACACTACCTTGACATAATTTAACCTGCATTAGAAGCATCCTGCTGATTCCTTGTGAAAAAGGGGGGAAAGCCAGAAGTAGCTTTATTAACTCAGATTAATACATTAGTGAAACAAAGCTGTGAGATGTTTCAAGTCGGAATAAGTTATCCGTCAGTGTCGAGGATTTGAATTGTTGAAATGTCATGAAATAAAATTATTATGTTGTAAAATTATGTTGCTGCACAGCTCACGAGAAAAAGGGAAGGCACCACTTGTTTTTTCCTCATTGCTGCCATTAATGTGTCTTTTGGTCCCTTTAGGTCCTTAAAGCCCAACTGCTTCAGCCATCCTTGGAATGAATGTGTTTAACTGTGTGTATATATATATAAAAAAGAGAGAGCGCTTCTTTATAGACCACATTTATATCAGCAGCATAAATTGTTATAACTTTTTTTTTTTGTCCGTATGTTCTTTTGTTGGTCTTTTGGTTTCATTTATTACATTAGAGTGGCTGAAAATCCTAAGCTGCCATTTGTACTCCCCTCAATCAAAGCTTTACAGAAGCACTCTTTTATTCAACTGTTTTATTCTGCGAGTCCATTTTCCTTTCATGCGTAAAACAAGTTTTTGATGATTGCTGTGCCAAAGGAAGCAGTTTCAATCTTTCAACCTCCTTCACTAACACAAGCTCACAGTTGCGCTCCACATCTGTCTTTGTCTCTCTCAATGCCTCTCTGCAGTAAATTACCCAGCTGGGCTCGAGCAGTGGTTCCTAAAATCTTCTATGTAACAGAGAAGGCATGGAACTACTACCCTTACACCATAACCGGTAAGTAAACCGTCTAAAAGTATTTCTCAGGATGTCATGCTGTTCACAGCTCATGCTATATCAAGAATTGAGTTAGCTGTTGTAACTGAAGGAGGCCTACTTTTGCCTTCTTAATACTCTGTGTTTAAAGCCTAGAACTACAGTCAGATTGTAAGCACAATATTTCTTTTAAAGGTCAGCTTCTCAGGACTCGCCAGCTACTATAAACACTTGGCTGCATGTTTTAAGTGAACTGGAGGAGTGTGAAAAGAAGATATAAAGGTTTAAGAAGCTTGGAGATAAAATCTGGTCCCAGATTGTGAATCTTTAATGGACAGTTTTAATAGATTGTGCAAAAGCATATATCCTTTTTTTTAATGTAGGTAAAAGTCACTGAGAGCCCAAAGAAAGCTGAAATTACAGCAAAAGTAACACAAGTAAAGAAACAAATACAACCGATATTCAGTGCAGGTGAACACAAACATCCAATTCATTTGCATTAACACATAAATAATTTCTTGCCTTAAATTTTTATTGGACTCAAACTTATCCGTCATAACCAACTCTAACAGTTTCAGGTCCGTCTGCGGATTATTCCAGAAAAAGGGAGCAGCATATTTAAAAGCCTTCTTTTTCCAGAAAGACCAATAAAGACATGTTCATGCAGCGTATAAGTTTAAAGCAGCAATTTTTCTGAGTATTCGTGATTTGGATGACTTGATCTGTTAATTAGTTGTGAAAGATTATATGAACCCCTGTAGATGTAACACAGTCTGAGGCAGCAGTGCCAGTTAAAATCTGCAGCCAGGAGACTTTCATTAAAATCGCAGGTTAGTGGTTTGTTACAGATTCATAAAAAGTCCCCTGAAAAGTTGAAGTTTGAGGCAAAGAAATTAGCCTGGACCTCAACATTATTGAAGCAGTGTGGGATCAACTTAACAGAAAACAGAACTAAAGGCAGAAACATCCAAAGGAGAGATTTGAATGGCTGTCAAGAAGCCAGGAGGACTTTTTTTGAAGACTACTTAAAGAAATTACAAGAAAACCTACCTAAGAGAGTTCAGGCTGTGCTGTGGTTATACCAAATATCGCATTTCAAGCTAATTAGAATTGTAGAAACTCTCTTTTTACCTTCCATTCATCAGGTGCTGGCATATCCCAGCTGCCATATGGTGAGAGCTGGGGCACACTGTGGCTCTATCGCAGGGCAATCATTCACACTCATTGCCAATTTAGAATACCTACGTAACCTAATCCCATGCATGTGTGGTTGTGTGGATTTTCTCTTTGAACTCTGCCAACTGTACCTATTTCCCATTTTCCTTACAATATATAAAGAAATGAGAGTTGGATCAAGACTTTTGCACAGCACTGTAAGAAAAAGCGAATAAGTGGTCAGAGCCATCAAAGTTACTATGCAACCTAACTCGTAATTTATGGTCAGATTCCAGCAGCTCCATATGTAATCTCTGAAGGACATTTGGAGGTTTCACCACATTAAGGCTTATAGCAGATTTGGGCACAGTGATCATGAGCTGGATGCAGTGACTTTGGAAATAAGCGCTTTTATAGCAACTTGAGCAAAATGCTAATTCAGTGTTAAAGGTCGGTGACTGCCATAGATGAAAGATGAGGGAGGATTTTCAGTGTTGATCAATAAAGTGCAATCTTAAACTCTATAAAAGGTGAAGGCATTTACATGGGACAGCATCTTCAGTCAAAAAGCAAACTGCAGACATTGTAAGTTCCTGAGTGCCATTAATGCCTCCACGCAACATTCAAGGTCAACCAGAATGGGATGTTACATCAGTGACAGCGTTGCAGCTTTCTGGTTGCCAGTGTTTCAGTTTGGTAGCAAAACACAAAACTATGTAAAAAAGTATGAACGTGTCACTCATTCACGCGTGACCACGTTTAAATCTGCATATAGTTACATGCTTACAGCCGCCAGTGCTTTTTATGCGCATTGAGCACAGCGGTGGAATAAGCCAATATTACCAATATTACGAGCAAGCAGTAATCAGGAGTCCAAAGATCAGAGGCACAGTGGCCAGAACAGAACATTTCTGTGATGCTTTAATGATTCTGATCATTAAAAAGCGGTGTTACAAGATGATGAGGACAGATTAAAGGGAATGAAAACACACATTCTAGTGAGGAGGGATGATTTGGGTTTTCAGATATTTGACAGACATTTTTTATATGTTGTAGCCTTCACTTATATTCTTTGATGTTGTGTAACTGATTTTGCTTTCTTTTGTGTTCTCCCATGGCTTTGACCCGATGTCACCTCATGCATTGTTCTGAAGAATACACTGTAAGTATCCTCAATTATTGTGGAATATTATTGTGGAAATATTAGGAGGTAATTGAATATCATAGAAGGGGCAAACATTTATGTTTACCTCACCGGTAGATTTCAAACAAAGATCTTTTTTCTCCATTTCTTTTAATTAATAGCACATAGAAAAATTGATTATTAAGTATTGTGTACTTAATAATAGGCCCAGCAGAGACTCAACTCTGGCCCTTTGAGCTTTAGAAATTGTGAAGAATTGCATAGATTTCTCCCTTTTCCTATTGATTTAGACCTCTCCCTGCCACTGAAATTCATACTAGACCAAAGTAAATAAGTAATACATAAACAATGACAATAATTTGATTGTTTGTTTGTATTTTACAGTGAGTTCACAGGGGGAAGCATTTTCCCGGAGTTAACAAAAATTTCAGCACTTTTTTTAGTAGCTTTAGCAATTTATTACATAGTTTTACTCGTGAAGTCTGGTCCACTCAAGATCAAAGTGATGCGGCCCACAGTGTGAAATGACTTTGACATCCCTTCTCTAAATTGTGTCTGCTCGTCTTTCATTTCAAACATCTGACTGCTTGTAACATGTCAAATTGTAGAAAAATGCCAGAATTTACATATTAAAGAATTTTCCGATTACTGATTATGCAGTCTTCTGCTGTATGCAGCGTAGCCGCAGTACAGTGGTGGCAGCTGAGTTCTGTCAGAAGGGTTTGTTAGTCTCTGCAATGATCAAAACAACTTACATAGCAACCACACACACAAACACACACACACGCACTAAGTTTTCCCCAATAATCAGAACGGCCTCTGTGACCCATGATTAACCTTGATACATAATTTAAAACATATGAATGTGATTAGGCTTAGCTATAGGGCTTCTGTTATGCAGAGGGAGAAATGTCAGTAGCGTGAGTCACGACACTTTTGGGTGTGGGGATAAACGGGGAAAGAGGACAATGTTGTGACAGCGAAGGAATGCTCGATATTGTCTATGTGCATGTGTGGGAGCGTACTGTGCTTATGTATGAGTCAGTGCAAATACACCCATGCAAAATGAGTTTTTAAGCAGGCTAGCAAAATTGTCTTGGTTTTTGTCACTTTTGACAGGGAGATTTAAGTACTGCACTGCTACAGCTCATTTTAAACTATACAGTGATAAACATACAAATGGAGAAAAAACCTTCCCAACTCAGACACGGTGCTCATAAAAGCACTTGAGGTGTTACAGCAAGGCACGTATGAATATGTTAGCCTCATGAAGAACAGACTTCATAAGCTCGTTGCTTCTATTTTTGCTCAGCTTTGGAATGCAGAAGAATAATAAAAGCAACACCGCTTCTGTTAAGGACATTAGTTGATGAATTTGTCTTTACAAGTGATTAAGCATCTTTTTTCTTTCTTAATCCACAGTGCTCGTTCCTGCCCAAGTTTTCCATCCACATAGAGACAAAATATGAGGACAACAAAGGATGCAATGACAATGTAAGTACATGGTGTGCAGGTGTGATAGGAGCTTTGAACTGTGGTTTGGGTGTTTCCTTTTAGTCACATGCTGAGTGGAACACAGTATAGTATGACTGCTCTGTACATCTGCAGTCTGTTGCATGAATGTCTCTGCAAGCAGATGGACGCCTCCTGTGTTCCTCCTCCAGATGGTCTAAAGGCAAATAGTTTTCCATGCTGCAGAGATTTTAAAGTGTTTTTGAGGCAAACTTGTGATTTTGGGCTATACAAGTTATATTGATTTGACCTCATGATGTGTTATTAGTAATGGCCTTGTGTTCCGTTACTTCTGGGCTTTCTGTTCTGATATAAATACTGTAGCATATGCACTTTGATGACCCATAAGCAGCGCAATGGAACAAAGTAGAAAATGAAACTTTTAGTTTTATCTTTATCGTGAAATGCACTGTTTGTGGTTTCCCAGCGAACACCCATACTGCTGTCAGCCCATATGCCCAGTCAGTTAATCAGGCAGGCTCTCACTCCCACGCAAATCTTTCAGCTTAATGTAACACTGCTGACTGTTTGCTCTCTTTCTCATAGAGAAATATGTAAAGCAAGATAACCCTGTCTAAGATAAAATAGCACATAAAAAACAAGATCTCTACAAAGGCTATATGAGTAAAATTATCCAGGCAGATCTGGCAGCAAAGACTCTTTCTGTGCAATCCCATCATGTAATAATGCCAACAGTGCATGAGCCTCAAGAGTCTGCCAAAAAACGGCTCCACTTGTTGGACACCTAATTTCATTTGGGTTGTTGGAATTGCTAACTCTCTGTATTCCCATTTATATGGGTATTAATCATCAAATGAAAGGCTGCCAGTGCTCAGACATTAGGAAAAAGAAATCGTGGAGTGGTGTGCTACATACAGATAGTTTTAAATGTATTGTGGTTACTGGTAAGCAGGTTAAGATCACTCGAGTTTTAAAATGATGTGTGGTTTTTGCGATGTATATGTAGAAGATGGTTCCTAGTGCTTCAAGTGCTTTGTTTGTGTCTGAGACAAACCACACTTGTACCCTTAAAGCAGGAAGACGGAAATGACCAGACTGTCAGTGCTCATTGATGCATGCATGAAACGTTAGACTGATGCTTGCTTCATCTGACAAGACAAAGTGATAGACCAAAGAGTTTTTAAATGAAATCTAAAGAGCAGAAATCGCCTTCAGCAAGTGCACTTTGTGGATGAAAACTAAGAGAAATCACAGTTGTGTCGGATAAATATCTGGTTTCAATTTGAAATGCCTGTGGACACACACGGACACACACGCAGATTTAGCACTTAGATTTAGTAATGGAATAAAACAGCTTTGCTACTTTGTATAACGTCTTTAAGGCAAGTAAACAAGGGGCTTTGCATTTTTTATGACAAACAGTAACCAGTCTGAGTTATGTATGT